ATCCATCCATCCATCCATCCATCCATCCATCCATCCATCCATCCATCATCCATCCATCCATCCATCCATCCATCCATCATCCATCCATCCATCATCTATCCATCCATCCATCCAACCATCCATCCATCCATCCATCCATCCATCTATCATCCATCCATCCATCCATCCATCCATCCATCCATCCATCCATCATCCATCCATCCATCCAACAAGAAGATAAGCCATCTACAGCAAACAGGGTCAGAGTAACAATATCACATCAGTGCTCCTACAACACCCAAACCAGGGACTGAAGACCCAACCCTGGGCTTAAATGGGCCTTCTGGCCTTGGTCAGAGATTGTGGGGTGGGAGAACATCCACTGATCAGACTGGTCAGGGTGAGTATGGCCAACATGTACCTTCAAGGGCTGCCACTGTACCACCTGATGGATGCTGTTGGGGAGATGAAGGAACAGAACCATTCAGATGCTGCTTTGTGGCTCCATGCACTCAGTCCCCAGACTGCCGTGTCCCAGTGCCAGCCACATCCACTCAGTGCATGGGAAGTGACTTATCACTGAGAAGTGATTTATCACTGTCTGCCTACGAACTCATTCATTTATGCAGCCTCCCCCTTGTCTAATAACAGAAGAGGAAAAAAAAAAACATTCTTTCTACAGAGCTTCTTACCCTTAAAATGACCTTCCTGGCCTGGTGATTCATCAGAGGAAGTTCTGGAGGATGTTCCCCACGTGCCGCTGCTGGCGGTGCAGCAGTGTGGGGCAGGATGCAGGAGCAGCCCTGGCCTGGGTGACATCCCAGCCAACCCTGGTCTGACCCTCCTGAAGACAGTGGTTTTTAACATAAGAACTTTATTATCATTACTACTACAAAAATACAATATAAATCCCATTCACATACATTCATCTAGACTCAATACACAAACAAATCAAAGCTGACAGTAGTCACTGCACTGTAGAACAAAAGGACCCTCCTGGAGCCTGTCCCCCACAATCAGGGCTCCTGGCTGCCATGGGTTGGGATCTGCCCCAGTCACAGCCTCAACCCACAGGTGAAAACCTGCCCAAAGACAGCGTGCCAGTGGGTAAGGAGCAGGGATGGGATGAGTACAGCTGGTCTGGAAGGAGGAAGGCTATGGTAAAGCATTTGGCAGCTCCATTTGCTGTAGTGCCTGGACCTGCACGGGGCCCTGCTGCCACAGACATGAGCAAGCCAGCCAAGCCCAGCAAGACAACAGACACAGTGCAGTGTTTTCCAGTGTTCCCAGCACTGCACGCACTCTGTGATGCTCCGCTAGCAAGGTGATGTGCATTCACACTGCTGCAAAACTTTACTACAAAAATAGTTGTTTCTGATATTTCATATGAGAGAGCTATAGTACACCACAAACTGCAAGGCTGTGAACCCCTAGGGTGGGTGGGAGGTGCTGCTGGCAGTGCCTGCAGGTAGATCAGCTCCAGGTGGTGTTACAGGGCTGGAGCTGCACAGCTGCCGAACACGGGTGGGTTTCACCCCAGATTCCTGGCTGCAATCAATCCTCTCTCCCTCCTGTACCTGCAAAGCCCTGGATGGATCTGTCTCAAGCCAAGAAATAAGAAATAAGATAACAGAAAACAGCACTGCAGTCATCCTCCCACCTCCAGGGCTGGGTGGATGCCCTGATAACATCTGATGCATCCGACAGACTGGTTTTCTTCTAGCTGGCCTTTACACCTGGCTCATGCTTCTGGCTTTGATTATTTTGCTTATTACATTTTTACTTTCTATCTATAGTTTGGGGTCTGATCCACTGAGAGTGGTTGGAGGGGAATCTTTGATACGTAACCTCACTATGAACCTTGGGTATGTAGCTCTACCTACAAGGCATGCTTGAGGAGACCTTTACAAAGTCAGGCAAAAGTCATATTGGATTAAGAGTTAAATGAGGGCTTTCAGGAGCTGGCCATGGATAAAAGATACAGCTTACACACCGCAGTGTCTAGATGTGTGAAAATGAGAAACAATTTAGGTTAAAAAAACCCTCCTTTTGTACTGCAACAGTGCCTGCATGGCCTGCTGATGTACACAGGTGTATACATGTATATAATATCTGAAAGCTGGACGACCTCTGCTGGCTCTAGTCATTAAATACCCAATTAACTGGAGTGTTCAATCAGCCCAAGGAGAGCCAGCACCCAGCTTACTGCCAGCATCAGTTTAGGTCTGACAGAGCAGTGAACTGAAGTGCAAAGAAAGAAGCAGCCGGAAGTTTGTAAGTGCAGACTCAGTGCTTCGGCGTTGGGATTGCTGACAGCGGCAGAGCCCAAGTCCAGCAGAGGGGGTGAGTGGGTGGGTACAAAGCTGCTCAGATGGATGATGATGGAATGTGGGAAAATCCCCAACATTCGCTTCTGCCCACCGCTTGGCAAGCAGCCCCACTACAGCAACATCCTTTCTACTGAACGGTGCCAGAGAAAGGAACATCCCATCTGCTCCTAAAATGTTGCCATTGGCCAATGGGAACTTAGGGTATATTTTTTTTAGCACTCTGCTCTGAGAAAATTCTCAGCTATCTTAGGAACTGCTTTGTACTGGTCACTGGGCCAGCAGAAGCTTGGCTTTCCTGCAGCAGCACACACATGTTCTAGGCCAAAAATGTCCATGCCATACAGCATTCAGATCACTTCCATTGGATGGACACTGCCTTGGTGTCCCCCCTTCAGATAGAGCAAGCCTTCGACCATTTCTCTTGATGTTGTTTCTGCTCTCATTCCAAATTTTATATATAGCCATATAGCTGCAACACCACAAGCAATCAGGCCACCTGCCAGGGTGACAGGGATAACAAAGCGCATTTGGGACTCTGACAAGGAGCTGAGTGCAGGTGGGTCACTTGGGCTTCTTGTAGCCTGTGCTCTGGCTTGGCCTGAGAACATCTGACTGGTGAAAACTAAGATATCTGGAGGACCTTGCTTTCCTAAGGGCAATAAATGATCAAATGTCCCAGAACCAAATGCAGAGGAACTGAAATTTTTGTTGTCATGGACATAAAGATCTTTGTCTACAGCAGTGGTGGGGTTTTGGATAGGAACTGGAGCAGCTTCTGGTGTGGATGGGACCATGCCGACCTCTGTGCTCTTAAGGATGGAAGGGAGAGCTGAAGCAAAACTCCTAAAAGCAGTGTCTGATGGGCTGCCTCTTGCACTGACTGGGTCCAGGGGGTCGTTTGTAGGAAGACCAGGATGGTGCAGTCCTTTGGAAACGGATGCAGGGTCTGAGTTTGAGGTAGAAGTTGTGCCTTGGGCATCACCCGCAGCATTTGCAGCATATCCCACAGGTTCTTCTGTGCTGTCAGAGCCATGTGCAGGACCTGTGGGGTATGGGGTGGGTCGGCCAAGGGCCATGCCAGCTGTTAAATGCACAGATGTGAAGGATTCCCTGTTTGCTTCTGAAATGACTTCAGAGTGCGTAGCAACTCCCGACGTCACGGCGGATGGCCCTGCAGAGAAACGTGTGGTGTTCTGCACGGCTGGGGTGGATTTGCTGGTCGCCTCTGTGCTGGCAGCAGGAACGGGTGCTCTCTCTGAAGCTGCAGTGGCAGCAGTGGCTGGAGGTGGAGCTGGGACTTGGAGACTGGTGTGCTTGTGGAAGGTGCCGGGCTCTTCGGGCACCGCTGCTGCAGAGGAGGTGGCAGCCTGTGGAAGTGGGGATGCTGCCGAGGCCTTTTCCTGGTCCAGCTTCCGCATGATCTTCTTCACCCACTCTTCATCTGGATTTGCACAAATTTCTCTGAGCTTCTTAGTAGTAAATCTGAAATGAACATAAAGAGAGATCACTTGTTAGGTGAGCATAACAGTGCCTTATGTTATCAGGGTGGTACAGAAAGCATTGGAGCAGGAATGCTGAGCCCTGCTGGCTCTAATGAGCCCCTTCCATCAGGCTGGATGGACTGTTTATTTCTGGGAAGGGCAGGTGCCTCGGATCCCACGTGGATCAGCGAAAGCTGAACATGACTCAGAGGTGAAAGGCTTTAAATCACAGTCACCACTGGCTCTGCTTCCAGCAGCTCCTTGCTCTCAAGCAAAGACACTGATGGCAGTGTTTATATTTACTCAGCTGGGGAGGGAATACATCGAGGCACCCAGACAGAGGCTGCTTACATGATGGCTTTCTTGGCGCACTGGAGTTCGGTCCTCCGGTAGCTCTTTATCAGCCTCTCATCTATGGCACGGTGGAAAGAGACACACCATTTTGAACACTTCAGAGGTGCTTTGGGTTGCCCTGAAATACAACATTCAACATATTAAACCTTGGCTTTGTACTAGGCACAGTAAACACTGGGTTTGATTATTCTTTATCCTCCTCTACAGAAAAGGAGTCTGAAGTTTGCCATGGAAGCTTCCAATCCCTGATAAAATGAGACATATTGATCCCATAAAAGCCATGATTGGTCATATAACACCTAGAGGAAAAAAAAAAGAAGAAAAAAGCACTGTCCAAACTGTGAGGCTCTTGGAACACCACTGCAGTTTTGCCATTTTCCCCAGAGTTGGGAGCTAATGGGACCTTTCCCCTTTGGTGAAGTGACAGGAGCACATTTGGAGCCCAGAAGATGCATTTCTCCACGCCGCAGCAACCTGCTCTATCACTCAGAGGCTCTCAGTGCAGGTCAGAGGGCAGGACAATCGTCCTATTCTTATCTGGATTACTCACATCTCTTTCCGCTGTGGGGCATCCCCTCCTAGCAAGCATCCTGCAGCTCTGAATGCTGCTGTAAGGAAAAGCTGCAGAGAAAGAGTGCTTTGACAAAGCAACGTTGCTCCCACAGCCTTTATCCCACAGTGTGGGGATGCCATCCCAGCAGCCCAGCTTCAAAGCCACAGCACTTTCGCCAAACATCTGCTTTCCACTTCCACAGGAAAACACAGTTTTCATTTGGCCCAAGTGTAAAAACATCCTCCCCTTGTCTGACATAGGGGTGAAGGCAGTCACACCACTGGGGAGAACGCAGCCATGCCAAGAACAGGCGCCTGCCAAGAGAGTGGACATTGCACAACGCAGCGAGATGTTTCTGCTCTCATGGGGGAACCAGGCTTAGAAACACAGATCCTCATTTATCCCTGCAAAGAGAGGAGCTGGAGTTTGGTTCAGCTCACACGGTCTCTACAAAATGTCGTCTGCTGATTTCCAATGGATTTGGTGAATTTAGTGAAGTTCAGTTGGGAATGACCCAAGCACCTGGTGTGAGAAGCAGCACTGCTCCAGGAACGGCCCCAGCTCTTCTGTATCTAAAGAAATCACGAGCAAACGCTCCTGTTGCCCATTTCAACCTCTACACCTATGCAGAGCTAAAGCAAAGCCCTTTTTCAGCCTGTAGCATCTTCTGTGGCACCTCAAGGTCAAGAACTCCTGCTCCCTGAGCCCGCAGGAATGACCAAATTCCCAGTTAAGTCTCATAACCCATGGCACACACTGCTGCTGGCTTCTGCTTTCAAAACTCCATTCAATGAACCACGAAGGTGGACAAAAACCTCTCAGCTCCCTAAGTCTGATCCCACCCTCACTGTGCCCACTGCCCATGTCCCTCGGTGCCACATCCCTGCAGCTGTGGGACAACTCCATGGACGGGGACTCCCCCACCTCCCAGGGCAGCTGTGCCACAGCCTGACCAATGATGCACGAGGGCTTGATCCAACCCCACTTGGACAGATTTTCTGTTGGTTTTCCACTTCTGACTTGGAGAACCTGCCTGAAGGGGTGGGAGAGGACGGAGCTCCGTGCCCAGCTGCTCTCCTGGCTGTCCTTGTTCCTCCTGTCTGGTGGCACTGGGGCACACACCTCAATAAGGGCTCTGCCTCTTTCTGTGTACGTCCCTTTGACCTGGGCAAAGTCTAGTTTTGCTGGCACTGCCAAGAAGCCTCCTGGCAATCCACCCTGCTCTGTTTGTACAGCAATCACCGCCCTGCACGTAGACAACTTACGCTGAGACCAAGCAGGAAAAAACGTGCCCGTCTCCCCTCAGTCCTCCAACACCCCTCTGCATGCCAGGATCTTCACATGGCCAACAGGAGAGCTTCCAATCTGTGCAAGCATGGCCACACGTATGTGAGCATCCCCAAGTCCAGTGCAGACAGACAGACAGACGGACTGACAGACTACTATCCTCAGGCAGGATGCTGCCCCAATGGCACGTCCCTGGGGCTCTGCACTACTGCTGACCATCAGAAATGACAAAAGCCATCAGCAGGGCCACAGGCTTCCTTGCAGCAAGGCTGTGTGCTCCCCAACAGCTTCCTACCCAGCCCGTTCCTGCCACAGGATTTCCCAAGCCAAGGAAGGCGTGAGGTTCCTTCATGCCTGTAACCTGATCTTCCCTGCTGTGTACAATCCTCTGGCCCCATGCACTAACATCCAACTCCCCAGCCCTCTGAATAAAGTCAGAATCCCTTACACGGAGCCACAGATCCCTCCGTGAAACCACAGACCCCTGTGTGAAACCACAGAACCCTCTGTGAAGCCACAGACCCCTCCCAGCTCTCATGGGGAGCCCAAGACTTGGACCCAGAGCTCTCACCTCCAGCCATAGCTGCCAGGAACAAGACCCTCAGAGCAAACAGGATCTGGAGAGAAGCAACCCTCATGTTCCCGTGGTCAGCAGCAGGAGGGGTACAGGAGAAGGACGACGGGCAGTAAGTCTCACTCCTGGATGCCTACAGCATCCTCCGGAGCAATGCAGCTGCAGCAGCTCATTCCAGGAGTGTGAAGTCCTGACGGGACTCCAGCTGCTATTTACGGACTCCAATTCCTCCACATGACGACAGACAGGAGGCGGAGGAAGAAGCCAGGCAGGGAAGGAATACTGCTTGTGCCGTGGAATGGGACAGCTGCTGGAATTCCCCGCTCAGATGACAACGCCTTCTCACAGTTTTTCAGTTCCTTGGCAAAGGCTAAAGGAGCAGGGCTGGCTGCTCCACGTGGCTCTCACCCACTGCCCATAGGTTTGCAGAGCCAACACCAATTCACAGCTCCCCAGCGCTTGTAAAGCTCACGTTATTCACTCTGAGGGCAAAAGCAGCCCTTCCTTTTCAGCAGCAGCATCAGTTGTTGGGCCAAAAAGTGTGGTGTTTGCTAATTGCTTTCACAATTCATCAGCTAATCTGATAAGCCAGACTGCCTCCTGGGAGACGGGAGCAGCCGAAGCACCAACAGAAAGGCACTGCCTCCCCAGGGTCTATTTGCTCCAAGGCACACTGCCTGCCATGTGCCTGTCCATACAGCCCCAAGCTTTGGTAGAGGGCAAGCTATCAGGGTCTTGCTGATGATCTGCAAGCACCAAGAGCGGATGGGGGCTTCCCAGCACCAGGTTCGGTGTGGACATGCCAGCAGTGCACTCACATCCTGCACCTTTGCTTTCTCTTTCATATCAAATCCCAGATGAATGTGAAATGTTTTTTTTTTCCCTGCCAACTTGCACAGCTGAAAAATGAAGATAAGATTACGATTGAGACAGTCTACTTCTCTACTACTCTACTTCTTAAAAAGCCCTTCCCAGAGATTTCTCAGGGTCGGTTCCCACATCTCCCGCTGTGGGAAATTCCAATCATTTCAATTAAGGATTTGACTCCAGAACAGAGTAAAACCCCCCAAAGTTTCCATAAAAAGAATTGTTAAAACTTTAGGTGAGAAATTCCAGCCTCCAAAATTAGCCTTGTTTATGCTGTAATGGACAAGCGTATTCCAAGCATATGTGCATTCAATTGATCCTGGAGTTAATCTGTTTGATGCAGGCAGAGCAGAACATGCCCTGTTTGCCAGGTTCCTGCCCTTGCCATGTTTCTCAGCCTTATGGGAAACTTTTATTCCGGGAAATGGCATTGCCTGAGGCTGCTTCTGCTGCACAGCTATTACCCTCAGCAGTGGGTAAAACCAAGGAGAGGCTCCAGGAGCTGCTGGAGCCCAGGAGGTACTTCTATGGGAAGCAGTGACAAACGACAGGCTTTGTCCTGATCTGATGGCTAAGGGTCTCAAGATGATTTTCGTTACGATGGAAATTGCCTGTCCTAGTTTGATTGCCTTCACTTGTTTTAGTTTTGCTTTAGTTTATGGCAACAGCAAGTGGATATCCAGTGTGGGCAGTATCCAGCTGTGAGCACGGACTGCAGCGCTCAAGCAATAGAGCAAAATCCTGTGAGCCACATAAAGGCAGCTTCCAGAAAGCAGGCAGCTTCCAGGAAAACCAAGAGTAGAAGACCTGAGCAGCTACACTACACAAATGTATGGAAATGAAACCAAATAGATGAGGACCGAGGAGAAAGAAAGCCCACTGGGAACAGCATGTCTTTCCAGTGGCAGCTGCAGCTCGTCACAGCCATTTCCTCCTTAGGGTGATTGAAAGGGGACTTCCTTGGGTCACCCCTAGCAGGCAGGGGCACATGGAAAGGGCTGCAGAACACCCTCAGCACATCTGCTGGTGATCCAAAATGGTTGAGTCACCAAAAGGCTGTGCAGCCATTCAACACAAGCAGGACAGGTTCCTCTCTGCCTGGTCTGATGGGGTTCAATGTGAGCAAGCATTAGGTCCTGCACCTGGGGAGAGTCATCAAGGTTGGAAAAGACCTCTAAGATCATCCAGTCCAACCATCCACCTACCACCAATACTGCCACTAAACCACATCTCTCAGTGCCATGTCTGCACAGTTCTTGACCACCCCAAGGCACAGTGACTCCTTCACCTCCCTGGGCAGCTGTGCCAGTGCCTTACTGCTCTTCTGAGAAGTTTTTCCTACTGTCCAGCCTGAAACAGAGGAATACCCACATGCATCAATATGAGTTAGGGGGTGATCTGCTCAGAAGGAGCTCTGCAGAGAAGGACCTGGGTGTCCTAGTGGCCAGCAGGGTGCCTTTATGGCCAAGAAAGCCAATGGCATCCTAGGGTGCATCCTGAAAAGAGTGACGAGCAGGGCAAGGGAAGGCCTCTTCTTTTGTTCTTTGTTCTTTATGACTATGAAGGCAGATGAAAAAATGGAGAACCAGGTCCCAACCTCATGTGGGACACAGGATATCAGGACAGACGTGACTGCCCCCAGCACAGCTGATATCAGCCTTCTGCAAACAGCATCTGCCCTCAGCACAAGGCACAAGCTGGGGCCTGTGGGTCTGTGCTGCACAAGGCTACAAACCAGCAAGCTGGAGCACCCAAAGGTGGCGTCAGCTTGGGTGGCTGCCAGGGCCATTCATCTTGAAGAAGAGGAGGAAGGTCCTTAATCTGATCTGAAACACAGCCAAGGAAAAGCCACAAACAAACACTTCTGTGCATGTGCTGCTGAGTACAGACCAAGGGATCGTGCATGGCGCCCCAGCACTCACCATCCGCTGCAGCTTTGCCTCAGTTGTTCACAAGCAAATGCTGGAGCTGTGCGTCGGCTGGAGGATCTCAGCAGCCAATGGAAGGGATGAGTCATGCAGGGGATTTACCACAAACACACAAAGCACCACGACCCTACAAAAGCGACTGGCAAAACAACATGCAGAGAAAACAAGAGCTGCGTCCAAAACAAACAGGAAGTGATGGAAGAACACCATCCTTCTCCTTTAGGCTGTTTCATGGTGGAAATTCAGGCTCCTTAGCTACTCTTGGTACCGCCTGCTGCTGTCACAGGTTTGTGTTCCTGGAAATCAGGAGGAATGGGACAAGAGTGAAGTCAGGGAACCTGAAAGGCTGTACGTGATCTGGGAGAGAGCCCAGTGCTGATCAGGTGATGATCTGATGATTCGCAGTGCACCATCCATCCAGGAGCTCCCAACATCTCCAGAACTGCTCTTCTAGGTTGAACCAGAGCAGGGAGGCCCAGCACCTCTGGTAGCAGCTATTAACAGCATCCTTTGCAGTTCGTGGTGCCACATTCACCACCTACGTCCTAGAAATTTGCTGGGGAGCAGAACACAGCTTCTGGGAAGATTCTTAATGCTGCACAGGAGACAGCCCACCAGGAGACACTGATCTAGAGGTGAGGTGATTCCCCCAGTCCTCCACCAGAAATTGATACAGATGTTTTTCCATAACACTCCTGAACAAAACTGTCACTGCAGCTTCCTGTCATAGAATTACAAAATCATTAAGGTTGGAAAAGATCTCTAAGATCATCAAGTCTAACCATGAACCCATCCCCACCATGCCTACTCGTGATGTCCCTCAGAGTTGGTTTGCACAGGGATAGTTTAGGTCCTTCTCCCTACACAAATAGCAGCTCTCTGCACTGCATTGCCCAGACATGTTCCACGAGCACTTTGTGCTTTAATGAGCCCACTGAAGTCCTCAGTCTGGAGAGGTTTTCTTGGTGCTGTCACAGCACTGGGTGGCCCCAGAACTGACCGCACAGCCTCCCAACTCTTGGCCAAGGCAACTCAGGGAATTTCTTAGGGCCAAAGGCACCTCTTGTTGTGGAGATACCCTCAGCCTATGACTGATGTAGAGCTCTTGAGCCATTACTGTAATATTTGAGAGCTGAATCCAGAAAGTGCTTGGCACTGCACAGCTGACTTCTTTCACATTAAAGGAGGCAGCAGGAAATGAGGAACAGCTGTCTGGGGCTGTCTGTGCTCAGCGTCTTTGCAGAGCAGCTCCTCTTTGGGAAGTATCTATTATTGCAGCGGTTGTGTTTTTAAGGAATTGCTTTCCTTAGAAAAAGACCGTTTTAAAATTAGCAGAGAACACCACAGGAGCCTTCGTTTCTCCGAACACGACGACTTCCTCCTTCCTTGTGATGGAGAGTAGTTCTGGATAGCGGCACACTGTGCAAAGTGCTGATGCTGTTCTCTTTCTGTTCCCAAAGCTTAGGAGTGCTGCCCAAGGGCACGTAGGAGCCCCCTCCTCACCTCAGCCCATTTCCCTGTAAAGGTGCTGCAGTGCCATGCTGGGTGCACAGCAGGGACTGCCTGCACTGCCCGTGCCTGCAGTGTGGGGGGAGGGGGGGTGTCTCAAAAACAAACACAGAGCGATGCACTCACGTTCTTTCCAAACAGAAGAGCCTCTTGTCTCCAGCAGAGCAATGCAACACGCTGTTCCCTGCTGTAGGAGATGAGAAAAGCTCTTCTGACTCTACGTGGCTTGATGGCATAGGTAAAAACAAAAGGCTGCTTTTCCAGGGAGGGAAGGGACGCTGGGACTTAGCTGGGACTTGCCAGAACAGATCAGGGTCTGCCTCCTGCTGGGCCCATTGAGAAGCCTTGAGATCCCCTGATGTCGCAATCCTTCTGCCTAGCTGCAGGGCACAAAGGCAGTGTTTCTACAGAGCTGGCATAAAGGAAGTATCAGATTATCTCCAAAATACTCGTCTTTCCCCACTGCCAAGAGAGGGGCAGCTGATGGTGGGCACCCCAGGAGCCTCTGCACATCTCAGCAGTGCACAGCCGCTGCAGGATCCAGGATTGCCCCAGGCACAGGAAAGTGGCTGTGTGTCACCCCAGGGTGGGACAGGGGGGTCTGCTCTCCTTGAAAAAGGGTCCTGTAAGGTGGAACACGGGTAGTTGGGGAGCAGGAAAACACCACGGTGTGCTTGTTTCACCTCTATGGGAGAGGTGTGGGCTCTCCACGTGGTGACTTCCTGCTTCTCCAACCAACTTGTTGCTGCCAGCCCAAGTAAGGAGATTACCAGAAACATTTTCCATTGACTTCTCGGAAAGGCTCCCTGCCTCCCCTCCGTCTCCTTAGGGCAGCAAGCCAGGTGCCTTCAGCAGCAGCTGTGGGGACCGGTTGGACAGGAGCTCACCATTAAGCTGTCACAGCAGAGACATCCAGAAACCCTTCTGTCCATGAGCAGTGCTGCTGGGGCTGACAGAATACTGCAAGGGTTTGGGGGCTGGCAATGTCTGCTCTTCTGAGCTCTGCCTCCACCAGCATCCCTACAGCTCATTCTCTTAACCCTCTTCCAGGCTTGCTGGCTCAGACCACAGTCACCAAACTGCTCTCCCTGTCCCTAATCCCATCCTTTCTGCACCTCACTTGATTAAAACAGAGCACCTCCCACTCTGTTTTCACCAAGAGCCTCCGTACTCCTTCCAGGCTTCCACTAATTGATGTGCTCCCCCATCAGCTTATTTAGAGGACTGCTAGCTCCCTGGGAGCATGCTTCGCTATAGCCAAACTCTCTCTCTGTAACCATCTTGCCCTTCTGTCACAAGAGCTACTCAGTTGTTGTATATTTAAGTGCAGTGCAATGGAGTCACTGCCTAGGAGAGCAGCGGGTGCTGGCTGTTAACATGGTGGTGGTGGTTGGGGATAGTTAATAAGTGTTGCTGGGGCTGAGGGCAGGGGACATTCCATCCCTGGGCTGTGGAACTCATGGTAACACTGAGGATGCAGCAGGTGAGAATCAAAGCAAGCAGTGATGAGGAATGCTTGAGATTCAGAATGCTATTTGGGCAGTAAATCCCCATGCTGAGACAGAGCCGATTGCATTGTGCACTGAAGTGGGCTCGTGACCAGCAGCATTCTTGCTTCTACCTTTGTACCAGAACAGCCTGCTGCCAGAGCTGCCTTGTCCGTGCTGCTTCCTGCTGAGCTGGGCTGCAATATCTGGCCCTGCACCGGGCTCCCCATCCTGGGACGCTGCACCCTGACCCCAACCCGGGACAGATGGGACAGGTAGTCGAGTGCTGAAGCAGAGGCGAACCACCGCTACCAGCAGCAGCGAACCGCTCTGTAAGGCTCCCTGCTTCGTGCAGGCAGCGGGACCAGCAGCCCCCGGCCACCCCCTGGGAGCAAAGGCCACTGCCAGCAGAGGATGCGAGGCGTCCACTGGGCGTTCACCGGGTTCCGACACGAAACCCAACCCGAGCCGCCTGCCTGGCCCCAGTGTGACGCGGGGACAAAGCAGAGACAGCAGGCATGTACGCATGCGCAGTGCGCGGGGCTCTGCTTTCTGTAGCGCCATGTGGGGCCCGCGTACAACGCTGTCAGGATGGCCGAGCGGTCTAAGGCGCTGCGTTCAGGTCGCAGTCTCCCCTGGAGGCGTGGGTTCGAATCCCACTTCTGACAAGTGATGACTTTTTGCGCTGGGCTCCTCTCGTTTTTATCGCGTTGTTTTTCTGCGCGTTTCCCGCTTCTCTCCCGCAGCGGCGCTAAAAGACCAGGCGGGAGCCGCCCGCCGCAAAATGGAACGTTGTCAGAAGTGGGATTCGAACCCACGCCTCCAGGGGAGACTGCGACCTGAACGCAGCGCCTTAGACCGCTCGGCCATCCTGACCCGTCGGCGCAGCTGCCGCCATTCACTCTCTTGACGTATCTATGCGACGCGGCGCCGCCCCGACGGGGCGGACCGGACTGCGGGGGGAGCTTCCCCGTGGGCCGCCCCGCCGGTAGCGCTGAGGGCGGCCCGAGCCAAGCGCTCGTGGCATGGCGGGGCTGCCCGGATCTGCGGGGACGCGGAGCAGCTCCCCGGGAGCCCCCGCCACTCTGCCCTCCCCACGCCTCGACGAAGCGTTCCTGTGCTCACCACTCGGGGGACTGATGGGCGCCCAGGCTGTGAGTAGCGGGGTGAAGGGGAGCGGGACGCTTGTGGGTGGAAGCTGATGGGGTTGTGACATCCTTGCAACAGCACCAGCGTGGCTCTCTGCTCCACATTTAGGCTCCCATGGAAGGCTGGGACACGAGGAGGGCAGTGCGAGGGGTGGAGGCGGGAAAGGGATGGAGCTGATAGCAGGACTGCTCCCAAGTGCTCCTCTCCAGGGGCTCCTGCTCTAATGTCTCCTGCTGCCACTGCACAGCGGGGCTTTCCCTATCCCCATTTCTCCCAAACGAGGGTTAAAAATAGATGCACAAGACAAGATGGCATTGTCTGGACTGAAACAACAGCAGCTGAGCAGCAGGAGCATGCGTGCAGCAGGACAAAGGCCACTATGTCCCCTACACGACAATGAAGGACGCAGACATCACAGCTCCTCCTGGCTGAGCTCATGGGAGAGCTGTGGGTGCAGCCCCAGCGGTGCCAGGATGAGGATGGGGCTGGTGAGACCTCCCCAGAATACTGCGGCCAGCTGTGGAGTCCTCAGTGAAGGAGAGATGTGGATCTGTTGGAGCACTTCCAGAGAAGGGGCACAAAAATGACCTGAGGGATGGAGATTCTACTCTATAAGGGCAGGCTGAGAGCTGGAGCTGTGCAGCATAGAGAGAAGGCTCTGGGGAGTCCTGAGCAGCCTTTCGGTATCTAAAAGGGTGGCCATAAAAAAGAAGGGCACAGACTCTTTTAGCAGGGTCTGTTGCGATGGGAACAAGGGAAAGGGGTTTCAGGCTACAAGAGGGGAGATTTAGACCTCCCCCTGCCCATCCTGCAGGTGCTCGGCCTCCTGGTGTGGGCTCTCCTTGCTGACACCACCTACCACCTCCACGCAGCGTATGGCTGGGTGCTGTTTGTGTCCATCTTCCTCTGGGTAGCGACGGTCCTGCTCTTTGTGATGTACCTCCTGCAGCTCCCCATGAAGTTCTACATGGTCCCTTGGCCCCTCATGGTACGTACGCTGGGTTTGCTCCCAGGGTGAGGGGCTGGGCCCTTTTCCTGTGGTTCTCCTAGGAAAAGGGCAGGAATATGGGGTCAGTCCAGCTAGGTGACTGGAGAACCAGAAACCCATCTCCACCCCCGTGCATCAGTAGCACCAGGTGGCACCATGCTGTGACACCAGGTGGGGAACCTCCATGTGGATCAGCTCTTGTACCAAAATGTGTGAGCACATGCCTTTGAAGATCCCTAGTAATAGAACCTTGAAAATGAGCACAACCGATGAGAAAAGAGCTCTCAGATCCCCCGGTCCAACTCCAACCCACCCCCACTGTGCCCACTGACCATGTCCCTCAGTGCTACATCTCCACATTTCTTGAACACCTCCATGGATGGTGATTCCACCACTTCCCTGGTTTGTCAGCTTTCTGCACATCCTTGTCTTTGCCTATGGTAGAGTGCACTCATACCTGGGGACAGCCCTGAACCAACCCTTTGCACCAGGCTGGCGCTCAAGTCTTTTGCTTTTGGAAGAGCCCTACGCAACCGCCCCAAGAGGTGGGCTGCTGGGTGCAAAGCACAGCCCAGATCTCCTCACCTCCTCTTTGCCCTCTCCAGTTGATGATCTTCAACGCAGTGGCAACCGTTCTGTACATCGCTGCCTTCGTCACGTGCTCAGCAGCCGTGCGTCCCACCTCGTGGCGCCAGTGGGATTACAACAGGAGAGCTGCCGCCTCCGTAAGTACAGGCGCGTGGGGCCGTGGCTGAGCTTCTGGGACCGAGTGCTCACGCTGCACTCCGCTCCTCTTCCAGTTCTTCGCCGGCCTCGTCATGCTCACCTACGGGGCGAGCACCTTCTTCAGCTTCCGTGCCTGGAAAGGACCGGGCAGCAACGCAGCCAGCAGCCAGGCGGCCAGCCAGGCGTGAGGCCGCCATCGTGGCCGCTGTCCGTGGTGCTGCAGTCCCGCCCGTCGGCGCTCTGCTCTCAGGTGACCGCGAGATGCTGAGGGCTCACCGAGGTCGAAGCTCCTGCTGGTCCTCGCACGGTGCACAGGAGCCAGCTGCTCGCTGGAACACTTGCACCGAGGAGGCTCACCCCGTTGGCTGCACTCCAGTACTAACATTCACTAAACCAAGCCCGCGTGGCTGCCTGTGGTCGCGCACAGATGCGGTGTAAATAATTGCAATTAACTTATGTCCGCGGGGGCAGAGCTGGAGGATGAAGGCTAGGCCAAGAAAGAAGTCTAAACTGTTATCACGCTGATCTTCAAAATAAAAAAGCCAAAGCACAGTTTTATGCTTTCAATAAATATCTTCCTAAATCCCACATTCGAGTCTGTCTGTTCCACCACAGCTGCTGTCAACAAATCCAGCTTTTGTTCTCTCGGGATGTGGTGGGCATTTGCCACAATTCCAGATGCCCAGCCACTCACCACAACATTTTCCTTCGCATCCTTCTTGTACAAGCTAGTAAGTCTATTTCATCTGGTTTTAATCTATTTACACACAGGCAGCTACTCTGTAAGTTTACCACATACGCTGTTTGCGTGGGTAAAGTTGTGCACAACACAACTTGTATCCGGAGGTGGGCTCAGGAAATTTAAGTACGTTACTGAAAGGTGTGAATTTAAAAGGGACTGCACAAACTGCACTGGAATCACAGAACCAGGAAGAGCTCTCAGACCCCAAATCCAACCTCACTGTGCCCACTGCTCCCATCCCTCAGTGCCACATCCCCACGGCTCTGGGACACCTCTAGGGATGGTGACTCCCCCACCTCCCCGGGCAGCTGTGCCAATGCCTCACTGCACTCATGGAGAGGAATCAGCCCCTGACAGATCTACTTGCACGTGCTGTGGAAGGAAAGCAGGCACAATGGAGCATCAAGTCTCAACAAATACGTACAAAACCCAAAATCCATAAGAAAATTGGCCTCTCAAAATGCATTTTGGTGGCAATGTTAGAACTCTTAAGAAATGAAGTCAGACTTGCACACAGCCCAGCGCATATAGAAATTTAATCTCTTATAAAAGACCTTTGCCTGGTGGAAAAGGCACCGATTGGAGCCCAGTCCCAGCGTGTCACAGAGAAACAAATCATCCCAGGAACATCAAACCACAGAAACCAGCCAGGACGGAGTGAGCAGGGTTTGATCCGGGCAGCTCCACTCAAAACCAGGGGAGCTTTGGTGCAAATTTTCACGGTCTAAAATTGAAATGAAAAAGGAGCAACAACAAAATTTCACTGTGAGTTGGTATCAGCACACCCAAGTGCTTACAAAGAGCTTGAATGCTCACGTGGATGTTGTTCACAGGCGAATGACACAGAGGTCAACCACATCCCCACCTCACAGCCAAACTAATGCATCTAGTCAACACACTATTTGAATTATTTTACAAAATAAATTCATCTCAAAACACTCAACAGAGAATTTGTGAGTTAAGCAAGCAGAACAGCACAGATCTATCAACAGCAAGAAGTGAGGAACCACGCCTCTGTGAAACGGTGACTTTGGTACACAGGAAACTGAGATATAAGCCCCATCCAAATATGAATTCACTCAACACCGTGTGCTCCATCTGGACTCTGAAATTACAATAGGCTGTGCTTAAAACAGAACCACCTCCCCTCTGGGACGTCACTGTCTGGGTATCCACTCGCACTGCTGTTACTTCACATAATTATCCAGAGCAACTGCAACAGGAGAATAAGGATTTTGCTCCAGTTAAAATTAAAAGGGGAAATTTTGGGTTTAGTTAAGAATTAATTCAGCTCAACAATTCACAATTAAAACATTTCAATGGGGTTTCTTTTAAAATTGATAGAACCTTAAATAGTCTGAAGGAAGGAGCTAACCAAAGAGCTCCTGTCCATGTACGAATGGCAGCCCGAGGTCTCGATACCTCCAATTTTAACCTCAGGATTCAGAAGGGCACGTAGCTGCATCTGGTTTGGATCAGAGCTGCTACCCAATGGCCTCACTTTTTTCCTCTGGTAACAGCCACCTCAGGGCATTGCCCTGCTTGCTTCCCAGCCCTGCATGCTGACCATGCTTGAGGGAGCAGCCTGCACAGCCCGGTCTCCTCACTGCTGGTCAAATAAACTACTTCACTTCAGCAATCAAACCCTAGCACTGCTGAGATGACTGGCAGAAGCCAGCAAGGGTCATCTTTGTGCTGGTAGGAGGCTTTCTCCCTGCAAAGCAGGCTGTACTTTTGCTCTGCCCAGGTCCTCATTGGGTGACAGCTGCTGCTGCACTGGCAGGGAACACTCAGTGCTCTGCAGCATCAGCAGCCTGCTCCTGTCTGCTCTCATGCTTTTAGACATGCATTGCCTGAGCGTGTCACGAAGCAGGAGATTAACATGTCTGATAGCACAAGAGCAGAGGGTCACTATGGCTCCAAATACATTTTAATTGCAACTGTCAAGGCAGAAGCAGCTGGGGTTTGGTGTCAGGCTTATGGCTATGGCCCCACTACCAGCACTCACTTCACCAACAGCTAAAAAGCAAACACACATTTTAAACAGCATGCTATTTAGAGCAGCTAATGACAGGTGGTGAACAGGTCCGTGCCCAACGTACCCTCAAGCTTACAGCTGTGCCACTGCCAAACAGAAAGAAACTGCATAGATAGGCCAGCTTTGGAATTGTCACTGTTATTTCCTCAGTGTAGAACAGCTGGGGGCTGAAACAAAGCCAATCAGAACTTTGCACCTTAAGGATGAGACTGACTTAAGCCAATGAGCAGACAGATTTGCACGCTAACACAGCAACCCTCACCCAGCACACAGGCAGCCTGGGGCTAAAACATCCACATATGGAAACATACACTTCTGTAACAAAGCTGTAACATCAGATTAAAGATTAAAAAAGGCATGTATGTATTCACACCTGCCCAAGAGCTGGACAGACACTTTCTTTTTGCATTGCCTTCTTGATTCTTTAGAGTTCTGCCTCTTGGGATGATGGCTGAGAAGCCAACCCAGCAAAAAAACACATACAGCTCTATTTATCGTCTTCTCAGCACGCTGAGTTTCTTTGTAACAGTTAGAATGGTGTGCAAATACTGTGTATTTAAAATACAATTACTCCAGGAGGACTACAGTTCTCTTCTTCTGTGGCCACTGAATACCAGCAAGTTACAGGCATCTGAAGGCACAGTCTGAGAGAGTTTTCATCACATAAAAGCACCTTGATTCTCGTGACCTTTTGTGTTTTAATGTCCCAATGCAAGCTGTAGCAGTGCACCAACTGTTCTAGGAGGAGGAGATGGATGATTTGTTTAGTGATGTCACCACTAATCCACCACTTAAATCCAGACTTCGACCTTCTTTTTCCTAGAAATGTCAGAAAAGAAGACATCCTTAACTCAATGCTGCTTTGAAATACACAGCCTTTTGAGTTCAAAAGATGAAATCCATATTCTGTTTGTCAAACCAATACAAAACTATACATTACCTGAGCATCTGAGCACTCATCTTGCTGAGGGACTTGAAAAAATCCTTAGCAGAGCATTTATTCCCTCTTTTTTCAATCTGTTTCCTCCTCTTCACAACCAAACCTCAGCAAGAGGTTGTGCAGAAGCTGCATTTAGTACCTGTGTGTCACTGCCAGCTGCACACCCAGCTCACAGCAGCCTCCTGCACCCAGGCAGTGCAGTGGGAACTGGTGATACATGGCTCCTGTGGGTTCACCTTTTGTCTCCAGAGTGGAACCCCCAGCTGAAACTATTCCTGCTGCTGAGACACACACTGCCTCCTCACCTTGTGCCCAGGAAGTTACAGGGGTGCAGTTTGAGTTCAAACAGCCTCCCATTTAAGTTCTTTTCCTTTTGGGCCTGTATAACCTGTGAATGAACGCTGTTACCCACCGCGGTGACGCTGCCTTTGTTGCTCTCAGGCAGAGCTGTGCAGAAATAACAGCCATCATGCCAATGAAAATAACCAAAGTGACACACTTACAGCTCTGTAATCCAAGAACATTTCCTTGAAAGCCAGGAAGTCAGTAAAAGTGAGGAGCATATCAAATATATCACCTGCCATTTCGTCTTTGTGCTGCCTACGGAGAGAAGACGAGGAATGAGAAAACCATGCGTTCAATTCTTACTTTAAAATGTGAGGTCAAAAAATGGCACCAGGACACTAACAGAACTTCAACAAGAACATTGCAGGCCTCTCATAAAGCACAATCTTAGACAAGTATTACCTTGCAGCATTTCCAATCGTTATAATACATACATTAAAATATTACCATTTATCTAAACACAAGCTTTAAGAGTATCAGTTTCTTTGTCTGATTTCCATGTGTAAGTCAAAAGAACTCATATCCAACCAGCATTTGTTCCAGTTATTCTACAGTAGAGAAATACTCCAAGTTGTCCTTTCCTATTGTCCTATTTCCTATGTCCTATTAATGGAGCTATTCACTTTAATTAGCCTTCACTAGATGGCCCATACCTGCACAGGTAGCACAAAACCCTTATTGCTGTTAGTCTGGGAGATGCTACTGAGTGGCAATTCAAAGCTTTCTGGATCCACACCTCTAGAGCTCAGTTTAGATCCTAGAGCAGCCCTGCTAAGATTAAAGGGTGCAGCTCCCAGAGTCACCAGGCATAACAAAAACACATCAGGAAGGTGGAGAATGTGAAAGTCTGGTTTTAAACAGGTTCAAAGCAAAAGAAACTTGGAGTAGAAGTGGTTGTGGGTTTGCTTGTTGTTTGTGTTTACCAGTAGATGATTCTAAAACATATTTCAGCCAATACTGCAGGAATTCAGAGTGGCAGAGCACTCCTACTACTATTATGATCCTTAAGGGGGAGCTTCTTTCTCAAGGGAGAGCTGTGAACACCTGAATTCAAATCCAGATAGAAAGATTGAGACACACACAACCCTCCCTCCCCCTCAACAAAAGCAAAGCAGAAGACTCACTGCAAAGACATTGTGAAAGCAGTCATATTAAAACCAGGAATCCGATCGAGCAGTTTTTCTTCAATGTATTTCTCTATCAAAGAGATCTTAAAAGAGAAATAAACAAAGGCCAATCAATCAAAACCAACACAAAAGAAAACCCAATCAGGAATCCCCTCCACCCCGCAGCATCTTAATGATCTTCACATGCAAATTTGAAACCAATCTTCCTCACTTTGCTTTGTCATGCACACAGCACACAGGCTGGATTTCTGTTAGAAGTTAAACAGCTGAACACCGTGTAAGCTTTCAGGTGAAACAAACAGAAAGGAACCCGTGGCTCCAGATAATCCCCCTCTTGCTCACAGAGCACAGCTGTGCTCCACAAAGAGGCAGCAGGCATCACACTGCCTTTGCTCTACGTGAAGCCAGCATGCTACAAAAGGGGGAACGCAAGACCTGATTTTGGCCTTAGGAAAATGAAAAAAGCAATTCATGTGAGGGATAAGAAAAAGCATCTTACGTATTCATTAAAAATAGAAGTGTAGATGAGCTTGTTTTCTTCTGACTCATCGAACTCCTGGTAGTGCTTCTCCATAAAACTCCTCTGTATGGACTGGAAGTCATCATCTGGACCACAACAAAAACACATCATCTAGTTGGGGGCTGAGTCATTCTTTTCACAACAGAAACCCCACTGTCACCAGTCCTCTGCTCTCCTGTGGCAGCCACCCGTGTGGCACACGTGCAGGCAGTCACACCAGGAGCACAGCTGCTGCTGGGCCAGATCCTGGCCCATCTGTGAGAGTACAGAGGGAGCAGCTCCAGCTGAGGGAGCCCATCACCCGTGGCAGCAGCACACGGCTGCTTTTAGGCAGCAGCTCTGACCTCAGGGTGGAATTTAAAGTCAATTGTCTTCCTACAGCTTCTCAAATTCAAAAGTACCAGCAGGACTGCCAGCTACTGAAGGCTTTTTTTCCCCACTTGTGGAAATGAATAAAGCAAATTAGCACCAAACTCAACACAACAGGCAGGCTGCACACCTCTTGGTTAAGGTGAGAGCTGATGATTGCCTCTGCTCACACGGTACAGGACTGGCTTCACTGAACACTCTTACCACCAACAGGTTCTGCCACATCGCAGGCTGCTGTTGTACAAACAGCACACAAAAGGCTTTCCTGTACACTTTTTTACTGCAGCAATGATGAGAAGAAAGGAAAGAGAGGAAAGAGCTTCCATGAGCAGGCAGAGGGTAGACCGGCTGTGAGCGTGCAGCATTTTTAGCACCCATCTTGTCTGCTTGCTGAGCTTACCCATGATGATATCCTCCAGGTACCCAATGATGGCATCAAATTCTGCATCAGATGGGGAGGAGCTGAAAGCAGAAAAGGTGGTATTGCATAAATACACGCTGCAACTACGGGAGAAATAAACTTTACAATTAAGAAGTGTTCAGGAAAGGCCAAGTGCAGGGAAAGCCCAGTAAAGCAAAGCAACCACAATTTCCTAGTGCCAACCTAGGAAATACTCCACGAGACCAATCATGAGACTGCTGTGTGGGATTTTCATTAGGCATCTGTAATGTTTTCCTAACTAAAAAGTTGTTTTACTGGTGTTAATGTTACATAATTCCAGTCCAGATGCAAAAAGAACGAGAAGAGTACAACCATAACACCAAATTAAGCATTTTCCATGCCGTAAATCCAGGCTTCTACCACATTTATTTCCTGGATAACTCAACGTGGTGACCACAGAACTTTAGATGCTGTTTTGCAGTACTTGGCCTTCTTAAACTCAATAAATACATGTATTATTTCACTAAAGAAACTTAAATGCTTTTTCTTGTGCATGCTGCACGCAAAGGGCAGAGCCTCATAAGGTAATGAGCCTCATAAGCAGTAAGCAGATGTTAAGCATCATTAATGATCTGAACACATCCAGAGAAGGAACCTTTAGCAGCAACATTTCAGAACCCTGCTCATTTTATGGCTCTTGTTCAGACACATCAGTTAGAAGCAGAGCAGAACTCTCCCTCAGACTGTGCTGCTTTCAGACAGCAGAGCACCAGAATTCAACCAAGAGCAGTTGAACTGTCTGGCCATAGGGCTCATCCTGACCAGAAAAACCGTAAAGATATTTGAATAAAGAATGCATCTGATCACCAGGCCATGTTCCAGCAACATCCGTGATGTGTTAAAGCTTAGAAGATGAGGTGCGGGAAGCCCAGCAGAGCAGAAAGCACACATTTCCACCAGAGGGCACAGCTCAGCCAGCAGAGGAGCTCACACAGGGCAGCAGCAGCTCTGCGTTCCTCCACGCCTGTCTGATTTCAAGCAACAGGGCTTCTCATTCTGCACTTCTATGCAAGACGACCTTGCTATGGATAATTTTCTTTTCTTTTCTCTCTCTCTCTCCCAATGAACAAAACCACAGTTTTTAGAGGCCTTTCCAGCTTATATTTCACAGCTTATTCTATTAATTTAAGCCAGTTTCAGCTTGTGAAGCACACCACCCGACTGTAGCTGTTCCAAACCAGCACCCATTTGAGTTTCCCTAACCACACCTATACCTGCACATCTCAGCAAACACACGCTCACAAAGCAGCCCGTCGTTTAAGTACACCAAGGCCAGCACAACCTGTGGCCCGTGTGCCCTTGGGGCGAGACAAACAAATGATGGAGAGAGGCACAGCCACATCCCCTTCGGCCACAAGCTTCAGATGAAGAGCACGGCAGGGACAATAGGGTGAGCCTTAACACCCACCTGTGTAAAATTCGGTTAGGTCATGGAAACAATGTTTGGGCTGGGAGGGATCTTAAAGCCCATCCAGTCCCAAGCCGTGCTGTCAGCAGGCACATCTCTTATGGATCAGGCTGCCCGGGGCTCCACGCAGCCCGGCCCTGAGCACCTCCAGTGGGGCACCCTCAGCTCGCAGGGGCTCACTGGCCTCACAGTGACAAGCCCTCTGAGCCCCCACTCTTTCAGTTCAAAGCCATTCCCCATCTCGCTGTCACTGCAGGGCTGTCCGGCTCAGCGCACGGAGTTTGGACTTCACCTCAACTCTGAACGCATGCTCCTCCTCCCTCCCAGCGCTCTGCGCTGCTCTGCGCCCTTGTCGTCCCGAAGGGCAGCATCTACTAAGCAGCACGGCATGCATTCACTCTCGCATTAAATTCCTATTAAGATACGTTAAGCAGGAAATAGCTGCCGTCGGACCCGACGCAGAACGCAGCACACTTACACGGCTACACCGAAGTTCTCCTCCTCCGAGCTCTCCATCCCTCCTGCACAACGCGCAGCTAGCTGCGCTCTTCCTTCTCGTGGCACAAAGTACTGAGGAACCGCACACGGGGAGGCGTTAATAGAAAAGTAATCAAGCCAGACGGACCGCAGGCCCACCCGGCGCACACACCGCCCCGCACCGCCCCCCCTCAGGGCCCCGCACGCCCCCCGGCCCTGCCGTTACCTGGGAAACGCTTCCTTCCGGTCTGGCTGCAGCCAATCGCAGAGCGGAAGCGGCCGCAGAAGTCCCGCCCACACACCGGGAAGAGCCAATGGGAGAAGGCGCGTGCCGCCATGGCAAGCCGGGATGGAGGGGGAAACGGATGGGATCTCGTCCTCCATAAGCTTCCCCCTCACAGCTCTGAGGCCATAACCCCAAGTCCCAGAACAAGCAGAAGCACAAGAGAACGGCAAGCACTCTTCAAGACGTTTTATTTTCAAACAGACCGACTGTGCCACGCTCCATCTCTCCCCTTCTTGAGTTTCCCTCCCCTCAGAGCCCCACAGCGAGCACCGAGGGCAGCAGAAAGCCAGCCCCACCTACAGCCTTTCCATACGTGAAATGAATAGGACAGCCCTCTGCAACACAACCCCTTCGGGTGCTGCTGGCTCTCAGCCCAGCAAAGCAATCTAAAGCATTCAGGTCTCCTTGTGAAGAAGCAGCATGCACTCAGACCCATGTCCACAAAGGCACCTGGGTTATTTGGACCCCTATGTTTCAATCAGACACCTCTGTGGGCCTTGGAGCCTATCTTATCCAGCACTTGGTACTGAGCAGGATTCCCAGGCACTTGGGGGAAGTTTTACCTCGGTTAATCCTGGCCAGGGAACCCAAAGCTTAGAGTTGACGGCATCTATTAAGGCAGAGTTCAAAGTGGTTCTGTCCCACTTCTTCCTCTACAGCACGCTTCGTATCTTTGTGCCTATCGTTGCATTTGGAAGCATTTGGAATTTCATCTCTAAAGATTCCGAAAAGCAGAATGGCAAAGTGGAAAACACCTGAACTTTGCAAAGTAGAGTCCATGAAGAAATGAAGAGGCCCAGGCACCCGTTTGCCATCTGACCTTCATCAAAACAGCTGGAAGAGAATTCACATTTCAGCAAAACCAGCCCTCGCTCCGCTCCCGATTCAGTCTGTATTTGGAAAAAAGCTCAACAACAAAGTGATGCACAGAACTTTCCTAGTGAACACCCTTTACGTGAGGCTCAGAGGACTTCTCTCCCTCCTCCTCCTCTGGATTAAATTCAGCACCCTTGAGTTAGGGAAGGCAGGATGTGAGAGGAACTGCTAGACAGCTTGATTCTGTGTGCAGTGCTGTCAGTAGGAAGCAAAAGTACTCAGCATGAGGAATACATCTCAGCTTTCCTAACAAAGATGGTAAAAGGTTGAGGATAAAATACCTCACAGCGTGAGAATTCACTACAACAGTCTCCACTGCTGAATTGCTGCCAAGAAGTGGGATGGTTATGGTGTAAGTTATGTATGCATTAGTAGAGTTCTACTGTATATCCCAATAATTTAAAAGAGCAACCTGTACAAGTCTTGGAAGAGAGTTACACAGCCTCGGTGCAAAATAAGCTTAACTCCACTGACTTTTGTGCTACTTCACCAGCTGAACCCTGATTCCTTGTAGAAACCTAACTAAGTGGTCAAAAGCTGCTGCTGAAACACATCCTCAACATACAAATGTCACAAATGTGTAACTCAAGTGGAGCAGACGTTTCCCCCCATAAGATCCCTACCAAAATACAAAGTGTGGCCCCAAACCTGCTCAGAGCAGGACTGATACATGACAAGCAAGGTGCATTTTTAAGGAGTTACAGAATAAGACTGAACTTGTTACTTGGATAACATTCCCCCCCCCCCTTTCAAATACACTGGCCCAGAATTCTTCTCTACGCTTTTAAGTTAGCTCAATATTTTCCAAAGTGAACATAAGCTTCAAAAACAATACTAATTAAAAAAAGATGTCTGTAGATACCTTAAAAAATACCCAGAATATCAAATTAATTCCAGTCCAGCATTATAATTAGTTAAGAATACCTCCCGAAAATGATATCCTCACAAAAAAATGTGGATATTGAAGTTAAAAGCATCAGAAACCTCATGTACTTGAAAATACCACCAGCCTTTGAGTAGTTAAAAACAAATCAGAATTTTCTTTGGAATCACCGAGTTATGAAAACGTGAATTTCTCTACAGTCTCCACACTGTCCTTTCAAATCAGTCTGTGTACAGATCAAGTCTTGGAGCAGTTCAACATCCACTGTTGGAAGATATAGTCTCTGACCAGCAGGAGGCTACATTGAACATTGGCATTCTTTTTCAGTATTGACTTCTGCCCAAAATAGAGGCTTTGGAGCACGAGACTGAGCGGCCCTGCTTTAGGAGATATTTCCTTTCTGAAATGCATTGTATGTGTACTTCCAGTGCAAATTTTTTCAGCACTTGCGACAGGCGAGAAGGAAAAGGGGAGGAAGAGAGACGCCCTCCTATGCTCTTGCTTGGAGGAACCAATAGCCATAACACACCAAACTACCAGCTTTCCTTACTGTTGAAACCAGTTCCCACTGCTGGCAACCTGAAACAGCTTATTAAAGATTTTTTTTTTCTTTTTTTTTTTTCTTTTTTTTTTTTTTTTCTTTTTAAAGATAATCAGCTTACAGTTTAGCATGAAATCTGGCCATGGCTACGGTTCTATGTGCGTAAAGATTGGTTAGAGATGCTTTCCCCTTTCTGTATTGGTTGGAGTTCATTAAAAACAAGTCTGTAGTACTTCACGTGTGTCATGAAATGTGAGAAATCTGTCTGACTCGGGTCTGTATTTCCTGTCGACACAAAGGGCAGGTCTCCAGTTGCAAGGCACACTCCATGCACAGGTCACTGGAGGAGAAAGAACAAGAAAGAAAAGGCCTGGGTTTACAGCATTTACAAATACTTACAAAACAAAAAGAAAAAAATAAAATAATCAAATGTTCCACAGTTTATTCAGCCTGCTTCAATTAAAAAAAGCAATCAAGGTTAAGTCCTTCAGTGCAGAGATCAGGAACAGCAAGTCAGGCGTTGTGGGTCCACGCGCTTTGAGAGGAGCTCTTGCTGCTCAGCACCTTCACAGAATCACAGAATCACAGAATCACCCGGGTTGGAAGGGACCCCAAGGATCATGTAGTTCCAACCCCCCTGCCTAGCAGGGCCACCAAACATACACATTCAGATCAGGTTGCCCAGGACCCCGTCCAACCTGGCCTTAAACACGTCCAAGGACGGGGCATCCACAACCTCCCTGGGCAGCCCGTTCCAGGGCCTAACCACTCTCCTAGTAAAGAACTTCCCCCTAACATCCAACCTAAATCTTCCCTCCTTCAACTTGGATCCATTTCCCCTAGTCCTGCTATTGTCAGCCTTACAGACCTGGAGCTGCTGGTGCAGACTGCCAGGATTACACCTGCACTCTTTACTTCCTCTCAGCACTCGCTCTGGTCTGGAGTAAAGACTGCCAAATTTGACACAGCTTCTTGCTGAGGCACACTGGGTGTCTGCTCTTCTTCTACTTGGAAGCAGTCTTGCCACTGTCTTCCTGCCACAGTGAGTGCTCTAAAGACACTACAGAACTGGACTTCACTGCATTAGCTTCCCAGTAGGCTACTGAGAATCACAGGATGATTAAGGCTGGAAAAGACTTCCAAGAGCATCACATCCAAGCATCTTGGGCTACATCAACGTAGGAAAGTACCAGGTGCCAGTATTTATCATGCTGCTGCCCCATTTTTATCTTCTATAGAAATCTGTGACTTCAGATTATCGACTTATTGAATGTTTAATGAATATCTGGGTGTACAATGAGTTTCCTACTCCCCTCACGATATGGATCGTGCACGCAGCACCTGTACTAAGCCAGCATTCATCAACAAAACCTTTGAAACCAAGTTAGACTGCTCTGTTCCTTGCCCAGAGCTAGCATACTCACAGAGCCACCGTGTAAACCCAGCAAGGTTAGTAGGAAAGGGAGGAAGTCTGTGCTTAACTGCCATCAGACACATCCTTAAAATGATGAGTTATTTCCTTTGTGCTCTGAAGTCAATCAAGATAAGCAGGGACTGCATCTGACCTCAACTAAGATATGCAGACACTGTTTCTTGGTTGACTTCTTCCTATTTGCTTTTTATAAAAAACAAAATTTGTTTTTACCTGTGTCCACACGGCCTGAGTTCTGTGTCTGCTACCTCATCACAGCAAAGCGTGCAGCAGTTCTCTCTGATGCTCACTTGCTTCAGCAAAGCCAGACGCCTGTGTCTGAAGAAAGAGATGTATCCCTCACATTAGTTGGGCTCTGAACTACTTGGGGTATTGCATCAGTACCAACACAACACGTCCTCATGCTCCTCAACACTGATAAACAGCACAAACAATAAAACTTTAAAACATCCTGAGTTTCTCTGAGCAGCCTTTGTTCCCTTGTTGTGGTCTGTCAGAAAGGAATAAAGAGAGTTAGGTTACAGTTCCAGCTCTCACAGCTGAACATTTCCATTAAAGTGTTGTGTTTGTGTATTTTCAAGAGGAAAGCAGCACCATCAAGAAAGCTTGGAAACCCTACAATGCTGTACTACAGTTCAGAAGAACACAGATTGAAAAGAAAACTGACAGCCCAGTATATGGCAAACAAGGGAAGACAGCACACACTCCCTTCTCTTTGACATGTATGTTATACAAAGGAGTCCCTACAACATTTCAGGAGTAAAAACTGTACAAACACATATCCAATTACATATGTATATATACATAGATGTGACAAATTATAATTATAAGCAATGCTTATATAGAGAGAGGTGTGTGTATGCAGGTAAGTGCACGCATTAAAGAAAATCGTGTTAATTATTATTATGATGAGGAAAGTCCTTTTTGATCAAGCTAGTTTATTAAAAAAAAAGTCCATGTGTCATTTCAGACTAGCAGGTGATATCAGAGCAAGCTGGCAGAGCTCCCACCTTTGCTGAAATATGACATTTCAGACTTGGAATGCATTTACAAGACCAAGCCAGATGGTGGCAGGGTGCAGTGCCCGGCCCAGGCTAACACTGCATCCACTGTAACCCCACAGGAGTTTATGTTAACCCCAGTGATGGATAACTGGGGTCCTACCTT